GAATATTTCTGATAGGAATTAATTTACCCAATGACTTCAGTTACTGAACTTCTGTTTATTTTGGGTACGATTATGAAAGTAATTAAACAACTTTGTCCAGTATTTGAACTTCTACTGCTTCATAACTCACACTAAATACTTAGGGTCACAGGACTTGAAAAATTACCTGATTTTGTGAAAGTATGCATGCAAATGAATCAGAAAAATGATTCAAATAATAGAAAATGGATGCTTTATACATTCACATTTGAAGTTAAAAAGATAAAACAAACATGCATTAGTGAATGAGCCTTACTTCTCCATTATCAAAACTACCTGTTCACATAGCATACAAATGTTTTACTAAGATAAATTTATCCTCTGAAGTGGACCAAAAGACAACACAATGAAATAATTAATTTACCAATTTTTACAATTAATTGATTAAGTTATATTAACTTTTAATTAACTTCTTATGCAAATGAAACACTTCTAAAAATTTCTTAAAATACCCTTCTACCTTAGTCTCCTAAAACTCTTCAAAGAAAGTGTTTTCAGACAGAAATATATTTAATTGACCAAACTATAAGAAATAAAAATATGATGTGACAGAGTTAATAGAACACTGCCTTCCTCTCCACCCCTAGTCTGCTGCTACATAATATGCACAATTTAGGTGCTTGGACCTGTCATATTTTATATAATCATGAACATACTATTGTCCTAGAGGCAGTTGTTCCAATTACAAATGAGTTTGGGCAGCTCAGGGGACAATAATCTACATTCTTGGAAATGGTACTAAGAACATGAGGTGAAGGCAGAGTATTACACAATTTATATTGTACTATACAAATTGCTTTAACATTCCTGTTGCAATTCCTTCCTTTTACATGAAATCAATCCAATTTTTAACAAAAGTAGTGAAATAGTGTGAATACAGTTTAAATAAGCAAAACATGATCAAAAATATAATAGCTAACTTTAAAAAATACTGGCACTCAGTCAACAGTTTATGTTTAGGATGAGGTGGTATTTGAAATTTGCAACTGTCAAACAAGTTGCCTCTTGCAAGTGTACTCAATCTACCTGTCCAAATAAAATTAAGTGAAACTATAATATAGGAAGACTCACGAATATGGAGGATACAATATGATGAGAGTAAGTCAAATAGTTTTGAAGATGTGTTTTAATTTTTCAAATTGGAAAAAAAAAAAAAAGCCAATTAGCTACTGAAAGATTATTTTAAATTTACCAAAATTTCCATAAGGCTAGAGTGCCACTCAGTATTAAGATACTGCAAAGTATCACAGAGTTAACAGGTCTTGAAAAAATGTAGTTTGGCTCTATTTTCTTCAAACAGTTCACTAGCCTCCTCAGAAGACTTTATCAGCTGTAAAATAAAATAAGCATTAAACAGCACTGGTTCCTGATACTTAAATAAAATGTAATTAGCAGTTCACTTAGCAGCTTTTTACAGCCCCTGAGGAAAGGAGCCTTTCCTGGGTGAGAACCCTGAAAGATTAGTTTGGAGAGCCTGAGAAACAGCAGAATTGTCAGAATTATTCTCAATCACCAGTTACCTTACAGAGCTTCTGATACCGAGGAGAAGAAACTGCCATCCTTTGTAACCGATGTAACAAAACCACAACTTTCTGCAGAGACGTTCTCACCACAGCCATCATTTTAAGTTTACCACACTTCTGGAGACACCTCAGAATTTGCATTATAAATGAAGAGCAATGATCATTTCCTCCTGGTCACTGGACAATGATTTGCCAGTTCTCTGAGCATGCTCGTTTCCAGGAATGCATTTGAAAGATAACAGGGGCTCAGGTTCTTGGCAAAAGGAGGCTGCTGTGCCTTCAACTTCTTCTCAATTTAAAAAAACGTATGCAGACGACACCCAGAAAGCCCCCCAGCTGATGCTCCCAGCCAGCACTTGCTCAGCCGGGCATGGCCAGGAAACGAAGCAAGTTGAGCAGCCAAACGCTGCCTGCTGCTGGAGCGGAGCGCACTCAGTAGCCAAAAAGGATATTAAGTGAAACATTAAAGCTGCAGATACGAGGCAGACACCCCCTGGGAACAGAGATTCAACACATCACCACCGCGGTGCGTGCCTCCTAGAGGATTTGTATTAAGAGATCAAGTAGCATTCACTCTCTGACTGTACAGAGGGATGCATTCGCCACCGGACTAAACGCAGCTCTGGCTGTGCTCTGTGCGATGAGTGAACAGACTCTGTTATAAATCTTTAGAAGGGCAGAAGGTACCTAACTCTAATGATATCAGCCTCTCCATTAAGTGCTAATAAATCACCTGGTGACAGGTCTCAGAACAAGATCACCTAAAACAAGAGGAAAATACCTGCAGGGGGGTCTGTGGCTTTACCTAGGCGCCCAAAAAGCAGGGTCGCAGATGCTGCCTGGGACGAAAGCCATTTGAAATCCAATTCTAATGTCAGGTTAGGACTCCTCTAATTCAACAGCAAAGTTAATAAAATATAAAAGTCTATAACTGATTACCGAACATTCCAAATGACCACATTGCCCCATAGACAGCATCTTCATGATCTCATTTCATGTCCTAAAGCTGTTTGAGTTTAATGAGTAAGAAACAGAAGACATGATTATATGATGTAAACACCAAGTACAGAATTTTTGACTTTCATGGGCATGTGTACAACGTGAGATGCATTTTCTCAAATTGCAGCTCGAAGGCCACTATACTATACGTATCCAGTGGGGGAAGGCACTATTAGGAAATCAGCAAAAATAACCCAAAATGATTAAATGACTGAGTCAAAGGGCACAGCCAAAAATAGGACCCAGACGTTTCTCATTATCCTGCTCAAACTAATAACCCAGGAAATGTTGCCTTTTCTCTTTTCTCTACCATTATCATGACTTTTTTAAAAGAAGCACAATATTTAAAGTATGTTTTACTCCTTCTGCCTCCTCAGTCTTTGATTTTAGCCTGATTTAAGTCCCTTGTTGGTCAGAGAGAGTTATGTTTATCAAGCCGTGTTTTGGTAGGCTTCTGCCTGTATATTGTGTTTTCCCATGTATGTCTATACTGAGAGCCTATACTGCCTCCTTCTGGATAGGCTAGCAATATCAAAATAGCTACACAAAAGCAACATCGAAAGAGAAGCAGTCAGTTGATGATAGCAATCGGTTAAAAATACCAAGTTATTAAGCAAATTTATAGAAACAGAAATTAAGTTAGTGATTATTTAGGGCTGGGGCATTAGGAAGCTGCACATGGGAAACTGATAGCTAAGGGGTACCGGGTTCCTTTCAGAGGTGATGAAAATGTTCTAATTTGATTGCAATGATGATTGCATAATTGTGAGTACACTAAAAACAATCAAATTGTACCTTTTAAATGGGCGAATTGTATGGAATATGAGTTATAGGTCAATACAACTGCTATCAAAAAAACATGAAGTGGTAATTCCTGCCCGTAAACCAACAGGGGAAGTTTCCAGGGTACAGGTATGCATCTGCCCCCCAAACACTATACTAGGTAGGGAGCTGGGTACAGGGGAAGATTTGATCAAAGTCTGAACCTATCGGACAAGAGGATGAAAATTAGGCTGAAAGAGAATACAGAGATGAAAAAATATTAAGTCCAAACAAATATTGTTAAAGAACAAGACCAGCCACTTGTTATAACACCAACCAGAAAAGGAGCAAGGCAGCATGATTTTACCCAGGCTCATTGGTACTGGTAAAAGGTAAAGCTCACATTTAAAAAATAATAATAATTAAAAAGATAATGTGTTAGAATGTGGGCATGAAAATCATGAATAAATGCATCTGAATTAATAAAGTGGGAAATCAATAACAGACATTCATTCAAAAACAACAACAAAAAGTTTCTCTGAGTCTCTGGCCAAAGTCTCTCATCTGAATACAAATCCATAGTGACAACTGCATACCAGGCACCTCCTCCTGGATGTTACACAAATGCCTCACTTCAACATAGTCAAAATGAAATGTCCTACCCCATCACCTGTTCTGCTGCCCTGATATTTTATTTTATTTTATTTTCCTGTATTCCTAACCTCAGGCTCTAATACCACCTGACAAGTTTCTGTGTCACTACCTCTTCCCCTCCGCTTAGTGGACTTACTAGCAAGTCCTTAGGTGTATGCCCCCTGCTATTGCTTCATTCCTGGACCTTATCACCTCAGAGCAGTTGGCTACAAGATATCCTAACAGATTGCTCTGCTCAGTCTTGCCCAGTTCACACTCATTCCTCATCAGCTAGATTCCTGTAAAATACAAATACCATTGCATCATCACCCAATTGCTTAATATCCTCTAATGACTTCTCCTCATTGCCACCATGTTAAAATATGAAACAGCAAAGAGATTTCTCCATCAAAGCATATTTTAAAGCAAGTTCTAGGTGAGATGGCCTGTGATTGATAAGAATAATGGGAGTTCAAGGACACTGACTCACCTGTATTTGAGGACAGAAAAGGGATGCAGATGTGCTTCATAAGATTCCTCATAAAGTTTTTTAAAGGAAAGATTTTGTATTACCACATTTCCACTTACCACAAGTGTAGAAGGAAAACTTGAACCTGAGACTGAATATATCATATTTATCAAGCCGAAGACATAAAAGTAATATCCAATGTTCTTAGTTGTAAACTAAGCCATAGAGTCTTTACAGTTTTTACATTAAATATTTATAATAAATGGAGAATGAAACAACTTTACATTAAGAGAAAATGTTCTTATAATGTAAGATTCAATAAGGCTAACTGTAATAGGCTTAAAATGATAGAATAGCTAGAAGTCTAGAAGTCTAAATAAACAATTATTACTTCCATAAAACAAAGTGATTTCCCCAATTACTAAGTAAGTGTATTTTACAGATCTTATTTCCAAAAACCAATTATTCACAGAATAGCATGGATGCCATAACAGGATAAGGTGACGACCTCACTTTTGAATGGTAATAAATCTTAATGGTAAACAAGCACTGGTCACATTTTTCTGGGTACTTGCCTGCATTTGCTGCGTGAGCTCCTCGGCCAAGACAGTGTCCTCAAGAGCATGCTCCCGCTGAGAAGCATCATCAAGTACATTCACTGTGGTTTCTGCTTCTTGTAGCCACTTTAGGAAATTCTCCAGGTCCATGCGAGAGGCCTGCACTGCCCCTCAGTTCAGCCTCCATGGAATCCTGTCTGTCAGCAATGCTGCAAGGAATAAGATGGGCAAGTCTCCATTACTTACAGTGTAACACGCCCCATCATGACACACTAAAGAAAAAAATCAGCAGATAGCCTCAAAGGACCTCAATTTCTTCAAGCACCTAATGAAATTGGGGGATTTATTCATATGTGTCTTGACTAATCCATAATGGGGGGATAATGTGAATTGTGAGAAGAAGAGGGAGAGAGGCATAACTTGACAAAAATCACATCCATATTACAATTATGACTATATTTTTATAACTCATAATTGTATGTTATTTCCCCATATGATTTATTTTAATACCTTAGTATAATGCATGACACAAAAGGCAATAGCAATAAATATGTACACAATGGGTGACTAAATGAATTCTATAAGAAATAGCATCTGAAGAAACTTTTAAGATAAAATAAAAATAACTTAGAACTAATTTTATATTATCAATACAAATTGGTTCTTTAAGTTGATTTAATATTATTCTTGGAAGACTTTGGATATCAAGCTTTTATATGCCATTCATTTAATCTACAAAGAACTATTCTAGAGTCTCATGATTTAAGAGATACACACATAATATCAACCTTTAAAACTTTATAGACATCAAAGTTCCATAATAAGAAAACAAACAATCTAATTTTTAAGTGGATACAAATAGTTTTACTTCCAGGTATTTAATCTCAAGAGATCTAAAAACTTGTCCACTCAAAACTTGTATGCAAATATTTGTAGCAGCATTATTTATAATAGCCAAATGGTACAATCAACCCAAATATCTATCAGTTGAGGGGGGAATTGATAAACAAAACATATTAATACAGAAAATATTATTCAGCCATAAAAGAAATGAAGTATCAATAAATGCTACAACATGGATGAACCTTAAAAACATTATGCCAAGTGAAAGAAGACAGATACAAAATGCCCCATATTGTGCAATTTCATTTATCTGAAATATTGCCAGAAAGATAAATCCGTAAGGAGAGAAAGCCAATTATCTGTTGACTAGGACTGGAGGTGGAAGCAGTGGAGACTGGCTGCTGATAAGTGGTAGGTTTCATTTAGTGGTGATAAAATGTACAAAAATTAAGAGTATGGTGATGTCTTTACAACATGGTAAATATACTAAAGTCCACTTAATTGTATACTTTACCAGGGGTGGGGAACCTTTTTCTGCCAAGGGTCATTTGGATATTTATAACATCATTCACAGGCCACACAAAATTATCAACTTAAAATTTAGCCTGCTATATTTGGTCAAATATTTAATTAACTCAACCCTAATTCCTTGGCAGGGCTAGACCAAAAGATTCTGTGGGCCTTACAAGGCCCATGGGCCAGATGTTCCCCACCCCTGCTTTAAATGGTGAATTGAATGGTATATAAAATATATCTTTTTTTTAAATTAGCACCTGTGACAAACTTTGCCAAACTATCTTAAGCCACAGCTAGAGAAGAGATTAAAAATGGCAGTGGACTAAGTGGGAGCTACACTGACACTCTCCCAGGAAATACAACTATAGAACATAAGAACCACTTTGAAAAATGAACTGAGGTCTAGGTGAGAAATAACCGAGATGGAAAGTGGAGACTGCATAGAGAGTGCTAGGAAGTGCAGAGGCACAAAAGGGTTGGCCTGGCTTCCACAGACAGCAGCTGAAGTGCCAGAGGGATATCTCAGCTGTGGGGGATTCCCACTGAAGATTATGAGATCTAAACCTCAAGCTGGACTCCCTACCCAGAGCACCAGAACTGAGAACAGTGCTCACATAACATCCGGCTGAGAAAAGAAGGAGGGCTGCTGACTGTCAGGCAGAGACTACTGGAAATGCAGGCACCCTCTAAAAGGGCCAATACATAAAATTTTGTGTGCAGTCACTCACCTTGGGCTCTGACAGAAGGAAGGCAGAGTGAACTGGAGCTCAGGGATTAAATTCCAGGATTGAGGGCTCTGGGTTTGGAGCTCAGAGGGCAGCCACCCCGGTTTCCTAGGCTGAGTCATTCCCTCATCCTGTGAAGACATCTTTCTCTGGCAGACCTTCCTATTCAGGTGGCTGTTGCCTGGGAAAAAGGCAATTGCCACACCCTCCTGGAAGATCTCTCACCCAACCCTGTGGTCAATAGTTTGATGCAAATCAAAGCTGCTAACAATCAGACTACAGGCAAAGGAAGATTTCAATAGGTTTGGAGTCTGCCACCTGGAGCTGAGCCTAGGAAAAGCAGACCTCGGTAAACAACTTGGTCCTTCCCAAAGGCACCTAGACCCAACAAAGGGAGCACAAATTGGATTACTTATAGCTCCAATTAGGAGACTCAGGGTCAGTCAGAAATATTATTTGACATTGTCCTGCACTAGAGATTTGGAGTAACAGGAGATCTGCCTAATACATAGAAATGCAAAAAGGCAGCCAAAATGGGGAGAAAAACAAAACAAATAAAAGTATGGAAGAATTCTCAAGAAGAAGAGATAAACAAAATGGAGATAAGAAATTTATCATATGTAGAGTTTAGAATAATGATGTCAGAGAAGCTAAACAGCATGAGAAAAGATAGAGCAAGTATAAAAGAACAGTTGGAAATAAAGAATGGCATAGCACTAATAAAGAACACATTTGAGGATTTACACAACAGAGTAGGGGAAGCTGCAGATTAGATCAGTGAATAAGTAGATAGGGTAAAAAATAAAATCACTCAATCAGAGAACTATTGATAAAAGGAAAAACAATTAAGAACAAAAGGACAGCTTAATACATTGGGGACCAAGAGTTGTTGTTTGTTTGTTTTTTTGTTAACTTTATCCAGTGGCCAGATAAGTTTCTATTGAATGAGTACAAAAAAATGTTTTACATAAATGTTAAAGGCACACTTTAAAATTAAATACCCTTTACATTTTGAAGTTATTTATTACATGTTCTTACAAGCTAATATCTTTTTAAAATATGATACTTTGTTGAACACTATGTAATATAAAGCGAGAATTGTTGTGATCCATCCGCAATGTGTTAAGGGGGCAGTAGAACAGCCTGAAAGATAACAAGATTTGCATAACAGTTGGACAGAAGGAGAAGAAAGTGAACAAGGAATAGAGAACATGTTTGAAGAAATAATGGCAGAAAACTTCCCTAACTTGGTGAAAGAAAAGGTCACACAAGTCCAGAAATCACAGAGAGTCCCAAGCAAGAAGAACCCAAACAGGCCAATGCCCACATACATCATCATTAAAACGTCAAAAATTAAAGACAGAGAGAATCTCAAAGGCAGCAGAAGAAAAGCAATTTGTTACCTACATAGGAGCTCCCATAAGCCTGTAAGCTGATTTCTCATCAGAAACTCTACAAGCCAGAGGGAATGGCCTTTCAAGGTAATGAAAAACCAGGATCTAAAACTAATATTACTATATCCAGCAAGACTATCATTCAAAATAGATGGTAAGATAAAGAGCTTCCTAGGACAAAAGAAAAAGGAAAAGGAGATTGTCACCACCAAATAAGCACTGCAAGAAATGTTAAAGGTACTGGTATAATGAAAAGAAAAAACTAGAGAAAGAGAAAAATGTAAGTACACAGAATTAAAATGGCAATAAACAATAAAAACCTTAAATGTAAGTGGATTAAAAACTCCAGTCAAAATACATAGGGTAGCTGAATTGATACAAAAACATGACCCACTTATGTGTTGTCTCCAGGAGACCCTCCTCAGAACAAGACACACAGAATGAAAGTGTGGGTGTGGAAAAATATTGTCCATGCAAATGGAAATAGAAAAAAAAATCTGGGGTAACAATACTCATATCTGACAAAATAGACTTCAAAATGAAGGCCATCACAAGAAGTGACAAACGTCACCACATAATATTAAAGGGATTGATTCAACAAGAGTATATAGCCCTGGTAAACATATGTGCAACAATATAGGAGCACAAAAATATATTTATTAAAAATCTTCTAAAGGACTTTAAGGGGGAGATTAACAACAATATAGTCATAGTAGAGGACTTCAACAACCTGCTGACTTCACTGGATAGATCTTTCAAAAAAATTTAACAAGGAAAGGGTGACTCTAAGGGACACACTGGATCAGACTGATTTAACTGACATTTATAGAACATTTCAGCCCAATGCAGCATAATATACATTCTTCTCAAGTGCACAAGTAGTGGCCAGATTATGAATTCAGAGATCATAATAATCTGGCCATTCAGTGTATATGCCAACAAACTGGACAATGTGGATGAAATGGACATATTCCTAGAAAAATACAACCTCCCAAAACTGAATCAGGAAGAATCAGAAAACCTGAATAGGCTAGTAATAGATGAAATAGCAGTAATAAAAAAAAACAAAACAACTCCCAGCAAACAAAAGCCCAGGTATGGATGGCTTCAAAGGGGAGTTTTATCAATTATTCAAAGAAGAACTAACACTTACATTCCCTCAAACTATTCCAAAAAATCCAAAAGAAGGAATACTTTCAAGCTCTTTTCATAAGGCCAGCATTATCCAATTCCAAAACCAGATAAAGACACTACAAAGAAAGAGAATTACAGGCCAATGTAATGATGATCATAGATGCTAAAATCCTCAAACTAATATTAGCAAACTGGATCCAGTAATATATTAAAAAGATCATAAATCATGACCAAGTGGAATTTATTCCAGGGACGCAAGGCTGGTTCAATATTTGCAAATCAATAAACATGATATATCACATAAACAAATTGAAAGACAATCAAATTATAACATTAATAGACACAGAAAAAGCATTTGACAAAATCCAACAACCCATTTTTGATAAAAATTCTCAGCAAAGTGAGAATAGAGTGATCATATCTCAACATAATAAAGGGCATATATGACAAACTTATAGCCAACATTATACTCAATGGACAAAAACTAAAAGCATTTCCCTTAAGAACAGGAATAAGACAGGAATGTCCACTTTTGCCACTCTTATTCAACATAGTACTGGAAGTCCTAACCACAGTGATCAGACAAGAAGAAAAAAT